ACAAACTGGTAGCAGGCCACTAAGAAAGCCAGCTAAATACCCCAATTACTCTGCACCCCAATTCTAACAAACAGAAGACACCCCAATTCTAACTAACAGAAGACAGAGGTAGGATCAGCTAGAATACTTCGACAGCAATGTTCACGCTGGCCGGAGACCTCAACAATCATATAGAAGCTAGGACCAAGCGTGGACATTGATGTACAAGGAGTCTAGCTGGAAAGCGATTGTTGAGGTCTAACGAGAGAGAGAGAGCAGAAGCAAAGGATGCTTCACATTCGGTAATCAGCAGAGAAACATAACTCACGCTCGATGGGCCAAGGGTTATAAAATTTACAACGGCAAAAAAATTGAAAAAAAGCATAGCTGGAAAGCACTTTACCCGTTACTGATCAAAATGCCAACTGTCAATTTCATTGTCAGGATGCCCAGGGGAAAAAAGTGCATGTGTCTGCTCTTCACTGGCAAGGTTTGGGTCCATGCAAACTCCTCGCAACCTCGTTCCAAGGTTCCTTCTGAGGAAGAAAGGTGTTCCTTGGAGGGAGAGGGGGTTTCATTTGAGGGAGAGGATTTCTTCTGACGTAGAGGGGGTTTCATGCTGCCCATCCGAGTACATTACGACGGGTGAGAGTGTATCACTCCACGACGAGATGCTTTGCCAGTAGGTCCCGTTCAAGAGAACCACGAACTGTCTCCGCAGAACGCAAGCTACCTTCTTCACCCGAACACAACGTAGGGCCATTATTGCTGAATTTAGGTGGAAAAGATTCCCCGAATACAGCTGTAATGACTGTACACTGCATTCGGGTGAAGAAGCTAGAATTCACCCCCGTAGCGCACCCCTCTCCAAAGACTACCTCCTTCCCCCGGACATAACGCATATGCGTTGTAAATGAATAGAAGGCATACGCTTCATTCGTTTAATCCGCATATGCATTGTATTCGAGTGTGGTGCAGCAACTTTTTGGACAGAAGAGGGATGGGTCCAGCCTGAGTAGGCTCAGTTCTGGTCGTGGGCGGAGAGCATTGGAAAGAGGAAAATTCAAAAATGTGGTGTCGTATCTTTCGATGTTCTGGCCGAGGCCTCCCTCCACTCCTCACGGAATGTGCAAAATGAGAATGAATCTTCTGCTAGAACATGGAAAGATACGACACCCCGGTGTGTTGAGGCGTGGCACTCCTGGCTTCCCGCTGCCCCGCTGCCACTTTCTTGGCTGCCCTTTGTCAGACAGCGGGAGACATCCAAGAAGAGGGTCAGGTCACACACTCACAGGGGAGAGAGAGAGAGAGAGAGAGAGAGAGAGAGAGAGAGAAGGCGAGGGCAAAGGCGAGCTACAGGTGAATTCAACTTTCTTTATTTTCCCTTTTCTTGCGCAACTCGCTCCACCAAGAGTTGCAGGAGCCAGGACGAAAATGGGAAAAAAATGAAAGAAAGAGGGTTCTATTCGAATAACATTTTTCTCTTTCCGAAATCCGATTAGAAGACATATGCGATTTATTCAAATACAAAGCATATGCGTTGTATTCAAAGTGCCCTTCTATTTGAAAAAAAGGTACTAACTTACGAAAAAGCTTTTTTGGAAAACTCAAATACAACGCATATGCGATATGCTCGGGGGAAGAAGGTAGTCAGATACTCTACGTGGGTGACTTCTACCTTCTTCACCCGAATAAAACATACGATCATTGTAACTGCATTTGGGGTGTCTTTCTGTGTAAATTCAGCAATAATGATCGTACGTTGTATTCGGGTGAAGAAGGTAGCATGTGTTCTGCCAATTACAGTTTGTAAGGGAAATGATACCTGTTGATAGTTTTTTGTTGGGCTCTGATCGATGCGCAGCCAGGCGGAATCGAACCGGTGACCTCGGCCATTACAGCCGGATGCCTTTACCACTGTAATCGTGACCCAGTGTTGAAAACTGAAGCCATACAGGTCATGCCAATCAGCCCACCCCAGCGCGGTTGCAGCAAGGTCTTACTCATCACATCCTCAACATCCGTGAGATCCTCCACAAGCAGCAGCATCCACGCAGACACCATCATCATCCAGGTGACTTCTCCTGGATGATTACTGCGCTCGTACACTGTAGATAGTTTTTTTGTGGGGCCCTAATACCTGCTAGGGAGCAACAATCTACTGACCAACATCCCACCCGAAATGGTGAGCCCGGCATACTGTGATTTACTTCCTGGTGAAGAGGGAACCAAAGTGTGCGGCCTCCAGAATAGAAGGGGACTGCTTATAGATGTTTTCACTTTACTCACTTTACTGACAGGAATGGTACATAAATGGCATCCTCTTCGTGTAAACAAGCAGACTTTACGGCTGAGGAAAACAAGATAGCACGACATTTCAAGAAAGAAAAGGGGAGGGTACTGGAGAGGACAGAACAGCTAGGGTGGCGTAGAAGGGTGGGCTAGAAACAGAGAGGGGTACAGACTTTAAGAGAATTTTCTGTCTGGTTCTTGCTAGTCCAAAGTCTAAAATTTGTTTGGGAATGGGGTATTGGAAAAGCGATCACGAGTTAAGCTAGGGTTTAAGGTTTAAGTTTATAAGGACACGGTTTTAGATTACTCTCGGGAAACGTTTTTTCAGCAGGTCCCAGAGGGTCCCGTCAAAAGCATAACACTGGGTAATCCTCCCAGACCCGGTCTTTATGTGGGGAGGTCGGCCCCTCTTTCTTTGAGGGAATAATGAACAGACCGGTTGGAACCTGTTTTTTTATTTCTTTAAGATTGGAGGGGCCATGCTAATCTCCAATTGCCACGGGAATAAATTGAGATATGGTCCTTTTGTATTAAATAAGGAAAAAAAAAAAACAGAAAAAGAAAATTGCAATTGCATGGGGAAGTCTGTGGAAACTTCATAAATGCATGTAAAGGAAAGCGAAAGAAGGGAAAAAGAAAGGCAGAAGACGCGATGAAAACCTACGGGCCTAGGTCAGTTGGTCCACCCAAGAACTGTTGAAACTTGAAATAAAGATGCAAGTTCAAATCCAGATGCAACCAGATGAACAAAATAAAATATACCGAATTACCTGGGGCCGGTCAGATCAACGATGTCATCTAAAAGAAGACAGAGTCTAACGCAGAGTCCTTAAAAAAGAAAAAAAGAAAAAAAAAAGAGGAGGAGAATACGTCGAACTAGTCAAAGGCTGGGAAGCTGGACCACAAGCCCAAGGCGGGTAATGGCCCTGGTGGTACTATATACATAATGGGATGCTGGACCCGGTTTCCAGCAGGTGTGCCTCCCCACCAATCGACTGGAGCAGCCAGAGGGGGCTCTGTTAGGGGAAGATTCTCTTATCACTTTCCCTACCATGACCCTCTCTGGCTTCAGAAAGAAAAAAGGAGAAAAAAAGGAAGGAGAATCAGAGTCTAACGCAGCGAACAGAGAGGGAGACGTTGCCTTTGACATTCTCTCTCCTCCCGATTTCTAAAACTTGCTGCTTTATTTCTGTAAAGGCAGGTTATGATAGAATGAAGATAAGCACTGAAGCTTCACACTCGGGGGAATTCCAATCTTATTAACACTGGATAGTAGCGGATATACGCGATGACCATCATCTTTTTTCTTGAGTAGTGGAACAGCGGTATGGTGGTAGAAGAGGTTGTACAGCAGTACATAAGGAAAAAATGAACAGATCGGGACCAGCACTGACTTCGTACAGGTCAGAATAGCATTCATATCATGAACCACGTTGAACAACCAATCATGTTGCAACATTTTCATGCAATGTTTGTTCTTATCTGATGTTCTTTTAGGGAGGGCACAACAAACCACCCTGGATTTCCGTTCCCTCCCGCCGGTTCCCCAACGCGCTCGCCCCCCCCTCCCCCACCCCCAGGTTGTACAGCGGAAGGAAAAAATGAGCACATCCGGACCAGCACTGACCTCGTACAGGTAAGAACAGCATTCATGTCATAAACCACGTTGAACAACCAATTATGTTGCAACAATTTCATGCAATGTTTGTTATTATCTGTTGTTCTTATCCGATGTTCTTTAAGGGAGGGCGCAGCAAAGCACCCTGGATTTCCGTTCCCTCCCACCGTTCCCCAAAGCCCTCGCCCCCCCCCCCCCCCCCCCAACCCGTCCCAACCACCCACAAGCTCACTGCCCTTCCAAATCCCTGACCACCCCCAACCCTTCTTCACCCTCCACGATCTCCACCCTCCTCCCTCCTTAAGAGAAGAGCGCAACAAACCACCCTCGATTTTCATTCCCTCCCTCCATCCCCAGATCCCTTGCCTCCCCCCTTCCAAACCACTACCCACAAGCTTACCTCGTCAATCTACATGCCCTTCCGTATCCCTGCCCACCCCCAACCCTTCGTTCTCATCCCCATCCTCCACCCTCCTGCCTCCTTAACACCCCACTCCTTACCCCTCCCTTTTAGCCCCACCCTCCTTAACTTCCTCAAACAACATGTCATACACAACCCCCCCTTCACCCCCCCCCCCCCCCCCCCCCCCCCCCCCCCCCCCACCGTCTCAGGACCCAAAAAGTCCATACTGCACCCGATGACAAATATGGGACATCCGTTAACATTGGAACCATACACAGAAGTAACCTTCCGGAAATACGCATCATGTACTGGATCTGTTTACATGCCTCCAATGTTTGTCAACCATCAAGATAAAATCTAACTACCTGCAAACAACAGATATCTGCTCACAGGAGAAACCGCGGCCACTTATCTATATAGCGGTTCTAAAGTAGTACTTTTTTTTTATACCCATGTGATTAACCAAAGTATACTGATATCGACCGTATGATAAGACTAGATTCTTTTGAGATTCTAAATAGGATACCTTTTGAAGCAGTTTTGCCCATGTTTGTGGTGCCAGGGGTGCCAGAAGTGCCAGGGGTGCTGCAGATTAGGGGGGGGAGCACTCATATGTACAAGTGCATTCGCCGCAACATATTCTGATTGCGCAAACATGAAACGCAAGTGGCGTTTAACAATGTCAAAAGACCTTAGCTTTCACTTGTGGTCCTCTTGAGAGATTCATTGAACAACGAGGACATTGACTGTTACGATGAAATATTTACCCAGGAAAGCACAATGAGGAATGAACGGAAGAGAAGTAAAGAAAAGCAGCGATTACCACGAAATTTGCGCACCAGAAATTTCTGCTTCATCAATTTTGCTGCAGATGATCCCTTCTCCCTCGGAGGCCGTACACCTCCCGCAACCGGTCCATCCCCATATATGCCATAATTCCCTCCCTGTCGCCCATGCTTTGGTTGCTGCAAACTCTTCTGCCGCAGAGCCTCCCTGAAAGGAACCTTAGTTGTCACACCCAGCGCTGGTTGTTTTTCATTCGGATGAAATTTCAAACTGCTGGCATGGCCATGCTTTCCATCTTCTCGCACGAGCTTCCGCAAATCCATCTTCGCAGGTGCATCCCCCCCCTTCCCCGCCCCTGTCATGCCACGACCTGCATTCTTTATGCCACTGATGTCCTCCAGGACTTTGTGAATTGAACCTGCCCTTCCAGATGGACCAGGTACCTTCTGCATTTGCCCTGCGACAACCGTTTGCATCTTCCCCTGGTTGGGCTTCATGGTTTCAAGCTTCTGTTTTCCCTCAACAACATAACCTCTCTCATTTCTGGGCACATTTGGAGACTTGCTTGGAAAACCTTTCAGAGCGGAATGCCCGCCTTCTCCGAGGGACATCTGCGCTGCCATCTACAAAAGCAAACACCAGAGAGTATTTTCAGGACAACAAGCAATGCACTCCCCTACCTTCACTCTTGAGTGGGTGATGATGGGCTCAGGGTGGATTGGAACCAGAACCTGGCCCAAACAAGGTAAGTTCTGGCAGCCGTTTTGTGTTGCCGTGATGTTACTTATGAGATTTGACCCTAGGACCCGTCAGTAGAGCCTCTATTTGCCAGGCATATTTTAGACCTTTCAGAGAGCAGATTGGAAAATTCTGGAAACAGCAGACCGGGTAGGCCTCGGAAACATAGCTCCGCAAAAGTGCAAAGTTCAGCACCAACTTCCACTCTTCAGAATTCCCCTAGCGTCCTCCGCCAAATGGTGAACACAACGCACCCCGATTATGGATCTATACAAGCTATCTTTCCGGTTCGATACAGTCGTCATGAGGGTGCATTACGTTGAGGAAAGACGAGTTTTGGCAATGCGGGGAAACCGAGAAGGGAAGTTGGGAATGTAGTAGCACACTTTCATTACGAACTTTCTATGGGAGCTCGCTCCAAATGACAGATTCTACTATTGGATAGGCGAAATCTCTGGACTTCAATATCCAGAAACCTTGGGTCAAATTCATTTTTGGATTACTTTTTTTGGTGTGAATTTGACTTTTTTTCATATACATTTCCATAGTCAGTGAGATCGCACAGTACACTGTACCATTTTCAGTACAGCTCTTCTCATGCAGGGTCACCAGGGCAGCAGGGAGCCCGGGGTGGACATAACCGTTTCTCCATTTCAACAGCCATATATTCTCGTGTGAAAAATCAACCTGACTTATATGGAGTCCTTCGCATCAAGCCTGTGCGAACGTAAAAATTTTGAAACTGATTCGTATTCCGAACTATGGTATCAGAGTTGGCCATAAACAATAAGCCGGATGGGTAAGCGAGCCCGACAAGTCGCCCTGTCAACATAGGCACCATGTCAGCCGTCAGAAAGACACGTCAGCACCCAATAATGCCAACATGTGCCAACGATACACCTCATGTCGCACCTTGTTTAACACGGTTTTCAGTGAAGGCTCTCCTCATGTGTGAGGGCAGACACAGAGAGGGCAAGAAGAAGAGCACTGAGAGTGTACGAGTAGGCACCATGTCAGCCGTCACAGTGTCACATCAGCACCCAATGTCAACAAGTGCCAACGATACACCTCACGCCGCACCTTGTTTAACACGGTTTTCACAGAAGGTTTCGCTCATGTGTGCGGATCACACAGAGAGGCCGAGAAGAAGAGTGGTGAGAGTGTATGATCACAAGAATCTTCGTCAAAACCATCAGTAAATTCATTTATTGAATATAAGGCGGGAGCATGCTAAAAAGGTAACCAGCGGTTACCATTCCCACACAGGAGGAGAAAAGCTCGGCAGGAGAATACAGATGACAGCAGACAAGAAAGACGGGAGTTCGCAGGATTGGAGAGGAATGCCGAGCAGGACGTCAAAACGAAGGAAGGAGTACGGTCATGGAAGAAGAAGGTCGTTAAAATTTCAAAGAAGCCAAGTCTGAAAGACGAGTGTCGCTGTGGGCGACAGATTAGCAGTCCTGCCAATTCTCCACTTGGCTGACGCAGACGACCTGGTTGAAAAATGATCTAGCTTCCATCTTCAGTAACATCCAGTTTCGCTGATGCCATGTCTGCCAAAATGGGCACCGTGCAGCAGCAGACCCCACCAACCTCGATAAAGTCGCCTGCAGGATGAGAGGATGCAGACAAGGCGTTGCCTCCAAGCTGGACTTCCCACTCAAACTCAAGGGCGAACGGAGGGGAGGACCTGGGTCGTCGGTTTCTATCTATCAATGGACGATCAACTACTGCGGACTGACGAACGATGAGCATTGATTCCAAGTCGCTTTCTACAGAGAAGGAATGAGTCAATAGCGAAGTGGTACAGGCAGGAGGAGATCACAAGATACACCCAACACCCCAACTGGTCGTAGTTCTCCCGGAAGAAGCAAGGAAGGTACACTATGGTCGTGTGCAGAGACAAGGTGTGTGGCTGCTTTATCGAGTTGGCCGCACAGACTTCTACTTCCCACTCAAGCTCAAGGGCTGACCGGGGGCAGGACCTGGGCCGTCGGTTTCTATCTGTCAATGGACGATCGACTACTGCGGACTGACGAACGATGCGGATTGATTCCAAGTCGCTTTCTACAGAGAAGGAATGAGTCAATAGCGAAGTGGTACAGGCAGGAGGAGATCACAAGATACACCCAACGCCCCAACTGGTTGTACTTCTCCCGGAAGTAGCAAGGAAGGTACATTTTTTTTTCTTTTTCTCTTTTTTTTTTTTTTTTTTTGAGGGCCCAGCACCCATGGCTTGTAGTGATATTTGAGAACATTGAGGGCGGGGTCCTCACACTCTACCCGGAGTAACCAACATATGATGATGAGGATGATGATGATGATGCTAAAAACGTTTTATCTACATTCTCGTTTATTAGAAAGAGCTGCCAAAATGTCAGAACAAGCTGGTGCAGGTAGTCTGACTGCTCTGATGATTTTCTGCTAATCAGAATCATGATGTCTGACCAGTCGCACTCTAAGTACTAGCCAATAAGGAAGAGTGATCGTGTGCAGAGAAAAGGTGTGTGGCTGCTTTATCGAGTTGGCCGCACAGACTTCTACAGCGATAACATAACCGACCTGGTCCGTGAATTCAACAAGATTTCACAGACACCTCGGTTGGCTATCCGAGATGAGCAATGCAGCGAAGGATTGGGTTGGTCAGCGATATGCTGCGGGCACAAGGAGACATCACAACATACGCCCAGCATACCAGCTGATCACAGTTCCTGCAGAAGTTGCAGGGGAGGCACACTATGGTCGTATGTCAAGACAAGGTGTGGGGGGCTTTTATGGAGTTGGCCACACGGACTTACCATGGCAGAATGCCCGATCTGGTCCGGATATTCGACCAGATTTGACAGATAGAGTTGAGCTGGCCATCTGAGATGACCCCGTCTCATACACGTTTAAGCAGGCTCTCCCAAAGAAGATGCCAAGCGATCTCCGCAGGAGGGCTAATCACAGTTCCTGCAGAAGTTGCAGGGCAGGCACACTATGGTTGTATGTCAAGACAAGGTGTGGGGGCTTTTTATGGAGTTGGCCACACAGACTCACCATGGCAGAATGCCCGATCTGGTCCGGATATTCGACCAGATTTGAGCTGTCCATCTGAGATGACCCCGTCTCATACACGTTTAAGCAGGCTCTCCCAAAGAAGATGCCAAGCGATCTCCGCAGGAGGGCAGTAAGACCTACTGCAAGATGACAGAGGGGGCGCTGAAATTGGATTCAGCACGAAGGTCTGCAGAGGGGATGTCGGTAACCAAGTAAAGATAGTGAGGTTTCACTCCTGTGGACAGGAGGAGCTTCAAAGGGAAAAGCACAACGTGCGCTGAAGACGCTGCATGGCTCGCATGTGATGACCTGACCAAACGCGGACTGAGACACACAGCTGATTTCCGAGTTTTGCTCATGGACTGAATGCCTTGCTGAGTTTCCCGCTTGCTACTAAGTTCTGCATGTCTGTATGTGCAACGCTTGCTTGGTCTGCACGTCTGTCGGAATGCTGGGTGGCTTGAGTGTGTGTGTGACCCGCAAGGGCACCTGTTCGTTCGTTGGGCCCTCAGGGCCGGTACTTACCTGTGGCCATGACATTGAGGATTGCAGCGAGGGAAAACACTCGAGTAGCAGGGGAAGCGGCCCGCGACAGTTGAAGCAGCGGGGGAAACACTCAAGTAGCATGTAGGCCGGTACCACACCCGGAAGGGGTAGGTGTGCCGGGTACTCGAGGCCAAGCAGAAGAAGACAAAAGTGGCATTTTTAGAGGCCCAGTAGTTATAAGCTAGGTCTAGGCGGGTACCAGTCCAACCAGTCTGAGTCTACGGCCTGTACGGGCAATATCAGAATCTGCAATGATGTTTCCCTCCGAAAGGGAGGAGGGACCGTTTGCTTGGAAGGCCGAGCGGCCTGGAAGTCACCGCCCGAAGTGGCAAGCAGGCCGCTATATCTCAAGGCCGGGCGAAGAGCCCAGCCTCATTGTCGGTGTGCAAGTTTGGCGACACACTGGTTGGAGCGCTGGCTGGAGCAGTGCTAGCAAGAGCAGCGCTGCTGGGGAAGGAGCAAGGACACGGAGGAGCAGGAGGAAGGGGGAACGTCAGAGATACTTACCTGGCTATGGTGGCAGCCATCTTCATCACCTTGGTGGGCGCTGCAGCAGGGAGACCCCAGCTGGGGAGAGCTACACCAAGAAGCTTCGAGGCAGAGTCAGGCATGGCGGCCTGAGCTAGAGCAGCCATAGCTGCTTTGCGTTGTCCTTTGCACAGCAGGGCAACGCCCAAGCCATAGCCTCGACCTATGAGAGAGAAGAGTGAGGGAGGCGGCCATGGCTATGGTGGACCTCAAGTGATACCTGGAGTAGAAGAGGAACTCGGACATGATTCTGGATCAGCCATTCAACATTGTACCATTATTTCTTGTATGAATAAGAGAGGGGGAGTAAAGGAGGAGGGTGTTGGGCGAAGAAGAAGAGCTTTGTCATTTGTCTATGCTGGTGTGCATCATCTTCTTCTTCTTTCTTTCTTCTTCTTATTCTTCTTACCCTCTCTCTCCTCTCAAGTTCATTCATTTCTTTCTGCAATTGGACGGCATTTTACTATCTGATGAATGTGTATCTCGAAATTGGCCAGGATCATAACACGCATATAATCTTGCTTCTCCTGCAAAGGGAGCATCATGAGACATGTGAAAAGGAGGACAGCGGTCCACGAGAGAGTGAAGAGAGAAGAGCACCTCGTCTGCAGGGAGAACAGAACCATGCCTGCAATCCAGCAGCTACATCAGGCAGTGAAATTTAATGGCAAGGGATGCAACAGCAGCAGCAAGGGAGGAGAAAGCAACAAAGTGGCCTCAGATTATAATCACAGATGTACGATGGCATGGGACAGGATGGGAGTCAGCAAAAAAAGTGACGACGAACACAATGAGCCTCGGTGAGTGTGACAGGTGCAGGCACTGCAGTGAGTCCATAGACCAGTCGATGGAACAAAGTCGAGGCGGACAACTCTGCACAGTGCAGGGCTACTAGTTCCCCAACTCCCAAATGTCAGTTGGCAGAGGCTGAAAGCACCTGTGGGAAGAGCCAGAAAGCGCAGACCGCAGAAGTTATCACAACCATGGAGGAGAAACGAGCAGCGGTCGGCACAGTGTGTGTGCCTGTACTGTCCTACTGCCTGGTGAACCACAGCATACTGGATCGCAGAGGATGACGAGTCCGCGCGGTGCAGTCCTGGGAGACCGAGGTTGTCGGGGAACCCATCAAAAGAGCGTAGCGAAAAAGAAGGCGTCCTCCTAGTCAACCAGAAGGAATGAAGACGATCGTTGACAATTGCTCCTCCGATAAATATCTGTTCCGAGGGCGATCATGAAACTGCATCTGGGAATGAAGGTACAGTGTCTCCCTAGTCCTGTGAAAGTTAACATCACTAAAGGGGATGTAATTAAGATCAATCACTGACGCAGGGGCCATGCTAATCTTCTCTGTATAGTTCCAATTTTACCCATGGCATTCAGGAGGTCATCGGTTCAATCCCCCATGTCGTCCGTTCGATTCCCACAGCACCCTGTGGCGTGCTTTGGGTTTGTCGGCTGAGATAGTTGGTTTCCCCCCCTTGGCTGGTCTTGGCAGGAGTCAGGAATCCTGACATCCCTTGCCACCGTCTTTCACCCGAATAGAACGCCCGGTCATTATACCTGTATCTGGAGTCAAAATTGTACCAGATACGGCTGTAATGAGCGGGCATTCTACTCAGATGAAGACGGTAGGGGTTAGGAGCCTGTGTACTATGCCCTGCATAGAGTAGAGTGGATAGACACAGTCAGTTTCCCTTCAGTGCATAACTGTCCCCTTTGATGCATAGACATGGAGCTCTGCAATGCTAGATACGATGGTAAATAGCACGAGGTATGCAGGTATGCAGGTATGTAGTGTGAGGTGGAAAAAAATATCGAGAGAAGAAAATAAGGGTAGCGCAAACAGCTGTCCCACATATATGAGGATATGAGAGACAGGCTGGCAATTAGGTCTAACAGGAGATACAAGAACAACCAAAACGGTCAAGTCTAAATAGGAAGGATCGATAGTACTTCGAGTAGGGACAAAGAGGAGGTACATCCTTCAACAGAAGCAACCGACGCCGTCTCCTCAGGTTCTCTCATTCATAATGGAGGAACATCAGAGTGTGTTCATCTTTGTAAGGGAGTCTTGACCCGTTTTCCAGCAATACAAAATAAAAGTCCAGTTTGGGGACACAGTAGACACGTCGAACGCTCTGCAGACCCCAGGAGTGACCCTCTGCAGACCCCAGCAGTGACCCTCTGCAGACGTCCACCGCTTCACACAGTCGTTGAATTCGGCAGGTGCAGCACGGTAAAGGAAGCAGACCGATGCTCCTCTTGGAAGACTGCCACCCCCGGCCGGACATGTCGCCCAGGAGGGTTAAACACACAGGGGACCCGGGCATGGAAAAAAAAAAAAAAGGCGGTGGGGGTTTTCCCCGCATACCGAGAGGGAGCCCAAATCCGGGCTCTTGTCTTTTTTTGAGTGTTGGCTGTCAAGGAAGGGGAAGGGGGGTATAAATTGTTTTTTGAAGGGACTGAAGGGGTTTCAAAGGGGGGTGCCTTAGTGTGATTCTGTTATTTTCTTTTTGAACTTCCAATTCCGTGAAGAATTCTGATGTGACCCTCAGCCAAAAGTTGTGTGCAACTTTGCATTGCAATTCTACACAATATTTTGTTTTTCGGATTTTTTTTTCCCTTTTTTTCTTTTCGCGCTGGGGCTGCCAGGGACCCTGCCCGGGGGTTATGCCCGGCCAGACACTCGTGCATGCACCCGGGCACAAGTCGGGTACCCGGCGCCCGGAAAAAAGCCTACATGCTCGCAAGAATGGACAACGAGACAGGACCACGAGGAAAAAAAAGAAAACAGCAGACCAATTCCACACAAAGAGACAAACCAAGAGCCTTCCAATGGCAAACATGATTGCTGGAAGAATTTTGGAATTGGGATCAGAGTTCATATTCTGCATTCAGCTTGGACACTGAAATGATGACCAGCCCTATTGTGCCATTTCTCCCCTCAAAACACATAGCCCTGGCTATGGGTTCTATTGTTGGGAGTGCACTTCGGTTCCCTCTCCACCTGCTAGTGGGATTACAGAAGTACTACAACCTTATAAAGATGTCTCTGCCCACTTGGGCTGGGAAGCTCATTGGTTTCCTATTTGGGACTGACTGAGAACTCTGAGCTGCTTCAAACAGAGCAGCCACCACGACCCATTCTTTTTTTTTTTTTTTCGGCCGTTGCTGGGGATCAAACCCAGGTCTTGTGCGTGGCAGGCAGGGATACTAAAATTTTGGACCATTTCTCGATTTATGTGCGTCATCCTTGCGCAGGGCCCATGCTAATCTTCTCTGTATCGTTCCAATTTTAACGGATGTCGCGACGACCCATTCTGTCGAACCCGAAACCATCAGTTTCAAAACTGTTTTGTTCTTTCCGAAACAAACCTTCAATCGAAAATATATTCAGGCTTGGGATGTAAAATGTGCATCCACTTACCATCATCATCGCTCCACGAGATCCCCTCAAGGGGGCAACAGCAAGAGTAGAGGAAGGTAGTGCAGCAGGCAGCTTCTCCTCTTGCTTCCCACTGCTCTTGCTTGGTTCCTTACAGTTCGCAAGTTGCACACCAGGTACGCTTGTCCTCTTTTCAGAGTTTGCCTGTCCGCTGACCCGCCTACCCCAGGACACCGTCGCCAGATTCCGTCTGCTTTCTTTCACGATTTCTCCGTGAGCTGCGGAGGCACTCTCAGTTGTATGCACAACCCGCATCAGCCCAGCTTCCGTTGAGAACCCCCTCTCCAAATGCCCATGCTTTTTGCTGTGACCAGTTGTTCCTGGTCCTGACCGGAGTCCTGATGCGATCTCTCGCTGCTTTTCAAGGCCCTGTCTGGGTCTGCCAGGTGCTGACATTCCATACGACTTGTGCACTTCATCCACCAAGGATTTTTCACCGCCATGACGCCCTTCTGAGATGGAAGGACCATCTCCACCACGATCTTTAGCCCCTACAGGCCGCTGCAACTTGAAGTTCCTCCAGGACGACTTATTTATGCTACACGGTGCAGACTGCTGCGATGCTCGTGTCGCACCTTCCGCCTTTCGTGAATGCCCATGGCCGCCAGCCACGCTGCTCGCACTGCCTGAGAAAGTTGAGATGCGACGTTTCTTCGTCATTGCTTCTTCAGCTGTCGCTCCAGGATCATGGGCGCGCTTCTTTGAAACCACTGCCTCAGAGACAGCATCTCGCCCAGCTGACTGTGAACCACCTGGGCTAGTCCTTGTCAGTTCTGACAAGCAGCTCTGTGATTCAGGTGCAGGTGGTGCTAACTTGACTGGCAAACGTGTAGTACCTGCAGACACAGCAGAAAAAGGAATGGCAATGAACTGGCAACTTAATCGAAAGCAGAAAAGGACACACAAAAATGAAACCATACACCGGCCCTCTCTCTCTCTCTCTCTCTCTCTCTCTCTCTCTCTCTCTCTCTCTCTCTCTCTCTNCTCTCTCTCTCTCTCTCTCTCTCTCTCTCTCTCTCTCTCTCTCTCTCTCTCTCTCTCTCTCTCTCTCTCTCTCTCTCTCTCTCTCTCTTTTGTCCAGCCCCACCTACAACTTCGGCATTGGTCACACCAGAGTATGCCTACCTTCTCCGTCGCTCCTCCAGGAGTCCTCCCACCTCCCTCCTCCATAAGTCGTTCACCCTCCGCCATCCTTCCCTGCCTCCTTCCTCCTTACTACATCGCCCCTCCCAGCTCTCTCCTCATACCTCCCTCAATCGCCCACCCTCCCGCATTCTTTCCTCCCTCCATTCCCGCCGACTTTCCTGCATCACTCCTCCCTCCGTAATCGCCTCTCCTCCCACCTCCCACCTCCCTTCTCATCCCTCAGTCCCTCATCGCCAGACCTCCCGCCTTCTTCCTCCCTTCTCCGCCAGCCATCTCGCTTCCACCGTCCTCATCTCCCCTCCTTCATCCACTATCCACCATCTTGACGCCAGATTCGTGCCATCTTTCCTCCATTGCTCCTCTTTCCGCCCTTTGTCATCGCCCCTCCTCCCGCCTCCCTCCTTGTCCCTCCGTCCCTCATCGCCAAACCTCCTGCCTTCTTCCTTCCTCCTCCCCCAGCCATCTCGCTTCCGCCACCACGCCATCTTTCCCCATCTCCTCTCCTCCCTCGTCCCTCCAATCTCCACCATCTCGATGCCAGATTCGCACCATCTTTCCTCTATCGCTCCTACTTCCTCCTCTTGTCATTGTCTCTCCTCCCACCTCCCTCGTCGTCCCTTTGTTCCTCATTGTGAAACCTCCTGCCTTCTTCCTCCCGTCAGCGTCTACCATCTTCCGCCAAACATTGTATTTTTTTCTGAATGAAGTTCTGTTAACGCACGGCTTGTTTTTTCTTGGGGGGGGGGGGGGGGGGAGGAGGGACTGCAATATTGTAGAAATAGGGTAAAAAAACTTCCTCCCAACGGCACTGGTTGTTTCTTTCTTTTCATTATTTTTTGCCGCAATACTCTAGAAAAACAGGAAAATTTCCTGCCAATCGTTTTTTTTTTAAACTTATTCTTGAAGGGGGTGTTTTCAGGGGTTGTTGACAGAGGGGAAGGGGCGTGGACAGAGGGTGTTGAGAAGGGGGTGTTGACAGAGGGTGTTGGGAGGGGGGGTTGAGGGGGACGTTCAACGGGAGGCGTTGGCAGAACTGCCTGACACTGTCATTATGCATTATTCTCTGTGGCGGACAGAATGGGAGCGAAGCAGTTCCTACATCGACTGAAGAGGGACTTCTGATGACGGTCTGACTTGGACAACACACTTGGAAAGGGAAAAACAAATTTCCCCGCTAAGTTCGGCGCTAACAGAACGACATGTCATAAAAAATACATATAAACTGCGCACAACTTGCATATGTGTCAGCGCCATGCACGCGGCGGCACGAACCTGTGCAAAGCACTCAGGGAAGTAGCACCACGCACTGTCCACCTATGGGTGTGTGCTAGTGCGTGTTCATCGGCGGGTGGCGCACCGCACCACATCACACACCGTCCCGGTGTGCCGCAACTATGCCGTGGACATAACAACAGAGAATACCCAAATGCTTCCATCCATCCATCAGCGCAGAACCCCTGATCAGCATAGCATAGATTACTCCTTCCCTGGAGGATCACTGACAGACAGCCTCTCCTTTCTTAGGTTCCCCTCACTCTCCATAATCAAGAGACTGTCAGATAGACATGCAGAGGGTATTTCGAGAACCTCTGTAAAATTGAGGCTGCGCATCCTGGATCAACCTGACCACATTCCTCAAACCACCAGTACTTTTCCCAGACATTTTTCTACGGCACAGCAGCGCTTGCACTGTGTTTGGCAGGATGTATTGGCCTTCCGCTTCAACAAAAATACATATAGTCAAAACGCGTCGCACGCACTGAGAGAATAAAGCCTTCCCGTATAGGTTACAAGCATGGCCGTCCGTGTCACCTTGTTTTCCCGGGCGGCCCGCCCGTGCAAGGACCATGGCAGGTCCCAGCAAAAAAAAAAAAAAAAAGAATCCGAAAAATCCAAAACAAAAACTATTTTATGCAGAAAAATAGACTGAACAACTTTTGCCTCAGGGGTCACATCGAAATTCTTTACCACATTCATAATGAAAAATAAAATTAAATTTAAATTTTTTTTGTTTTTTTTTTGGCCCGGCAAGTGGTCCCAGGCCACTCAAGTAGTCTAGCTTCGCGTGCAAATTTGGACAACAAATGCTGACTCAATTATCATCCAACGAGCTGATTTTGTCAACTAACTAGTCAGACATTGGATATCACAAAAGTCGAAAAAAAAAACTGTACGATTTGCTTTGCCTGATGATGAGAATGAGCGGCACATTTCATCTGAATTACATGGCAAAATGGATTAGATCAATATGGAAACAAAAATGAAGAGAGGGGCGCCAAAAAAATCCCTGGCCGACCACCATACCTTCCATTGCGGGACTATGTGCTTGAACCTGCACATATACAAAAGGCAAATCAATTGTTTGTTAGGTAGTGCGGGAAGGAAAAAAAGAAGATCTGGCTAAAGGAGAGAAATTTTCAGAGGCAGGAATCCAAGCACAAGAGACCAAAAGCAGAAGGCAGGACAGGGGGCTGGGGGAGGGGGGAGTAGAGGACAGGCAAGGACACGAGTTGCCTCGGATATTGCAAAACAGAGACGATAAACGAGAAGAAAGTAAGACAATAAAAGTCCATCGCAGGGGGAACCTGGAGAGAGAAAGGTCAAGAAGGGGTCGAGAAGGAGAGCAGAGAAATAAACTTGTAAGAAGAGTTGGCTCACATATCACAAAACAGTGCTCACACCCAAGAAGGTGTTTGGAGTGTGAAACAGAGAGACAGAGAGAGCATTGTAAAATGAGGCAATAAGTGAAGGCATATCATTGTGTGGCTTGGAGATCACGTCGGTAAAGGTGATCGACCAACACAGCGCAATTTCTGGGCCAGTATCACTTCCTGCTGGAATGCCGACAATGCGATTCCAAAGTGTGCCCCCTCCCTCACCACCCCCCTCACTCTCTCCCCTTCTCTGCATTGATGATGCTTCCTATCCCAGTCCCCCTGTTGGGCTCAGGCTGGACTCGAACCCAGACTCTGGCCCAAAGCAGGGTAAGTTTTCACAATCAATTGATTTGTTGTTTTGCTGCCTGTGATATCCAGACCGGGGACCTCTAGGTATAGTCTTTCATGCCCAAGCCCACATTCTTAGACCTTTCGGACTATTTTGAGATATTTTGGACAATAGGCCCTGTACGCACTGGGAAGCGCTAGCAACAGGGAGCTAGAAACACGGAGCTTGGCAAGAGTGTCGAGTCAGTCCGCAAATTTCAATTTTCACATCAATTCATTAGTCTGGTAGCAAAGGAACCTGAGCAACATTATTTTCGGCTCTGGCGTCAATACATAGCGACAAGGGTGACCGCGCCTGTGTGCCCACATCTCTCGGTTCAATGAAGTATTCTGCTGCTTTTCAGTGTGAGTAATAATGTGTGAAGTTACCAATCAAGTGTGTGATGCTTTCAATCAAGCCTGGGCAAATACAGATTTGTCTGCAGCAAGGCATCTGGGCCTAGCAAACTACCACATCAATTCCTAACACTTGTATCGAAGCAAGCAAGGATCAATAACTTGTTCACATCTGGGCCTGGCAAACTACCACATCAGCAGAGGTGCCAATGCTGGTCACCAAAGCGCCACGTCAGCACCCAACAGCATCAACCCGTGTTCATCACATACCTTGTGCTGAACCTCATTTCACAATGGTTTTTCTCCACGGAGATTCTGTCGGTGCCTGAGGGAAGACGGAGAAAAAGCGGTGTAGAGACACTGGCGGCAGAAGGCGAAAGGTGGAAAGGTGGTGCAGTCTACGATTACCCATTCCAAGGCAAGAGAGCTAGTTTAGACGTTCCAGTGGCTACTGTCCCTGCAGACGAAAATAAAGGCACAGGTAGAAAGCACAGAGACAGCAGAAGGAAGAAATCAGGAGCTCGCTGAGATGGAGACAGGAGGGCTGGCAAATTCCACTTCGCTTTCTCACTTCTTGTTGATACAGCAAAGGGATGGGGCAACAGCAAATTGCTTCACATCCTGGAGAGATGTTACAGTGTATGCCAAGCACACCAGCTGGTCACAGTTCTCCCAAAAATCATGGGAGAGGCAAACTGAAGTCACCCGTCAAGATAAAGCGTGGGGCTGTATTTTCAAGTTGGCTGCACATACATACGATGGCAGCATAGCAGAATGGCCTGTACGCTTGACCAGCCAGATCTTCCAGATGCCCGAGTGGGCTATGGGAGATTGTCCGATCGTATAATACGTATATGCAGTTATGCAGGCTTTCCCAAAGACCGCCTCAAACCACCTGGGTCGCCAAAGCAAGGGACTTCGGCACACATCGTAGGATATCAGATGAGGCGCTGGAGTTGGACTCACAGCTGCAGCCTGTGCTAGGGGGAAAGGCAGTGACCAGGCAGCCAACAAAAGACCATGAAGGCCAAGATGTACGCTGCCATCACGACATTGCACGAGAAGAAGGCCAAGTGACACCAGCAGCAGCAGCAGTACAGACGAGAACGAAGACAGTCCTCAAGCACAGAGAACAGAAAAAGAAGTCGTTGCCTGCAGAAGGAGCAGAACCGAATGATCTTCTGTGGCAAATGTAGCAAGCTGTGAAATGTAGTTGCAAGGGAAAGCGGCAGCCGCAACATGGGAGGAAACGCAATGAAGCGCGTGTGGACGCACCGAAAGTTGAGGTTGTCGCAGAAGGCCAATGCCACAAGCAGGAAGAGATGTGTGGTCATTCCTCGGATACTACAAGTTTCATAGAGGGTTGCGGCATGATCGCTGCCCCTTTGACCCACTTGACAGAGAAGACTCCACTACCGTCTCACCAAGGTAGACCAAAAATTCAAGACTGTACCCAGTCCTTAAGGTACCGGATCCCGCAGTATCATATGTGTTGAGGACAGATTTCAGCCAGTTTGTGATAGCGAGAATGGTGTAGCAAGACAATGGAGAGGACCTGAGGCCCATGGAGGATGTATCAAAGCATGTGCCATCGAAGAGAGTGGCCGCTAGCATCTTCGAGAAAGAGTTGCATGCATTGTCGATCGTCGGTTTGGATGAGCTCCAGGAAGGGGAGGAAGAGCAGGCAAGATCCATGCACCCAAGTTCCAGTAGTACCCAGAGGAAGCAGAAGAGGGGATGGATAGAGCTACTCTCATGGACAGTGCACTACGAATTGCTGCCGCAGTGTGTAAGAGAGAGAGAGCCTTCTAAGAAGACAAGAGGAGAAACTAACTGCAGTTGCAGATTCTGTATACATCAGAACGACCTGCCCGTCTGTGATTTTGATTTCAACTCAGTGCATTCTCTAACATTGCAGTTTGCTTCGTTTGCTGTTTGTAGAAACGGAATTCCCTGTTCCCATTTACTGGCGACGTAGCCAGTTCTTTCCTGTTACCAGGTCTCTTTCGAGTCAGGAGGGTACTAATTTTGCTGGGTACATCTTGGCCAAAGAGTGTCGTAAAATAGTGGAAAAATACTCATTCAATATGTGTGTGTCGGAACCACTCATTCAATCTCCTTCCCCTGTTTCCAGGGTAATCAATGCTGGCAGGCTTTGTATTTTATCAAAACATTGAGGTTCTAAGGGATGCTGGACCCGGTTTCCTGCAGTTGTTGCTCCCCACCAATAGATTGGAGCCATTGGTGGAGCTGATAGGAGTGTATGCTCGTACCATCACTCCTATCTGTGACTGCCGGCGTTTCGAAAAAAAAAAAAAAAAAGAAAAAAAAAAGAAGCATTAATCCTGACGTTAGTCTCTTTCGAGTCAGGCAGGTACTAATTTTGCGGTGTACATTTTGACAAGAGAGAGTGACATAAAACAATGGAAAACAATAGTAAAATACCACATGATAAGGCATCGGTTCTGTGTGTGTCAGAACTACATATTAAACCCCGCCAGCACACGGCCCCCGCCTTGCATGCAAAAAATTTGGAGGCTCGGCCTGCCAGACCATGAACGATGGCTGGCAGCGCCTGCCAAAAGGGAAAAAGCACTGCTGGCGGTTCAGAAAAGCTTGGCGTGCAGTAAGGGGCCTGCAGGCCCGGGTGTACTGGTAGTTTAAATGATTAAATCTTCTAAGAATAGCATTACGCCTAAACTTAGTCTCTTTCGAGTCAGGCAGGTACTAATTTTGCTGTGTACATTTTGGCCAGAGAGTGACATTTAAAACACGGGAAAAATACCACATATGATATGGCGTCTGTTCTGTGCGTGTTGGAACCACTCATTCAATCTTTTTCTAAGAATAGCACCAATCCTGAAGTTGGTTTCACATTGAGGAAAGCCCACGGGTCCTCCGACTTCCAGTAAAAAAAAAACATTAGACTGGATCTTGCCAGTATCACCTAAACACATACCCCTTGGAAGTCGAAAGTTAAGACTCCAAACCTCGTTCAACCCCTTTAAAACCCATGTATGCCCCCCTTCTCCCACCTTTTAAACCCATGTATACCCCCCTTTTAGCCCCTTTAAAACCCATGTATACTCCCTCTACAAGGCACTCTGCCCATGCCACATTCAAGTATAACACCCCGGCGTTATATTCGGAGGGGCATCATATTCGAGAAAAGGTGAATAAAAAGTATTAAAAACAAAAACCTGATTTTTTTAGGGGTAAGTTGAATACAACGTCCAGGCGTTATTTTCGTGTGAAGACGGTAGTCCTGTTCTAGGTTTACGTTTTTGGGTCCACCCCCACCGCTGGTCTAAAAATAGTTACAAGCGGTTCACTCAAGGAATATCCAAGCATGAAATGCTCAACAGCACCAAGATCCTCAGCAGAAACACAATCTTGACCCTACAGCACCCAACACCCAGCCAACAAGTTGGAATTTTTTTTTTTTTTTTTTTTATTATTATTTTTTTTAACGCCCAGGTTGTTGTAGAGGCAGAGTATCAGGTGCAGGAGTACTCTCCAGGGTTTCAGTCACTCGAAGTTCGGAATGACCCACCTGGCCCTCTGGACCTTCCTAGACGGAGTCCTCCACAGGCTTAGAGCCCTTAAGTCCTATCGCAGGAATTTCATTCAACCCTATTGCAATAGTGCCGACTATCGTCATCTTACCTGAGCAAGACCCAGGTCAACAAGGAGTCCTCTCTTGAGCCTTCGGCAATATAAGAAATTTGCAGGCTTCACATCCCGATGGGCAACACCCTGCAATGAGGCAAGGCAAAAGAATTCAGAAAACAAGAGAGGGCAAGTGACGATTGTTCTGGCAGCCAAAATGCCGTCCGTATCAACCGCACGGCCTGCACTTCTCTCCAGCTGAACGGCACAACAGCCATCAGGTCATCCACTTGCAATTTTGTGCTTCCAGTACCTATGAGATGCATGAACAGGAAGTGCTACACGATCTTTTCTGGGTTGACAGTGGAATAGGAACTGGGCTGATGCTCCGCAGAATGGAAAAGAGCCAGAACCACAAGGTTCTGTTTTTTTTTGGGAAAAAAAAAAGGATGTGCTACACGACAGAACAGAATGCTTTGCAAAAGGAACTCCAATATATATAGTTGATTTTTTAAAAATAACAAAGCTGCCTACGCCTAGGCTACCAGCCAGACAGCCCGGGTCACCTTCTTTGCCCAGGCTGCCCGGCCCTGCAAAGACCATAGAAGGTCCCAGAAAAAACAAAAATCCAAAAATTCCGGAAAAAAGAAAAAGTTATGCAGAAAAATAAACTGAACAACTTTTTCCTCAGGGTCACACCGAAATTCTTTACCGAATTATATTTATTAAAAAAAAACTTTCAGGAAAAAAAAAAATTGTCTGGCCAGGCAAGTGGTCCCGGGCCACTCTGGTAGCCTAGGTCTGCGCCTCATACGGGGGACGAAAAAAAAAAACCTAAAACAAAAAACATATAGTTGATCACAGCTCCAAATTGAAATGCGATTCGCCAATTCGGCAGTTCTAGTTTAAGACTACACTGTCACTACAGCCCACTTGTGCATGCACTTCTGTATGAAATATATTGGCACCAATAAGAGGCAGGATCAGGACGTACTTTGAGCACGTCACACTGCCCCAAACTACTTAATTTGTTAATTTGCCGCCTACAAATTCAGTGCCACTTCCTACTCCTCTGCTTGGATACTTGTTCCTTAGCTCTGGAACACCGCAGTTTGCTCCTCTCTCCCCTGTCGAGCAAAAGTTGGGTCAACTCAATCTCTCCCTCCGGTAAACCCCGTTGCAGAGGTGCATACAGCATCCGGATATTCTGAGTCAGATTTCATTAAACAAAGAATATTTGTGTTCAGACGGTCTGCTGGCAACATGCTAAACCACATATGACACAGAAAAACAAGTTCAGGCATGCACTTGGACCTTTTCCAGATAGATGGGCCTGTGGGGCGGTGCAGGTTCACCAGATGAGATAGTCAGCTTGCCACCCCTGGTTGACATTGGCAGAGGTGATTCATGGTACGGCTTCATCCCTTCCATCCCTTGCCGGGGGTTAGGCCCGACCCTAGTGGAATAACGTTACCCTCTGGGTGCTTAGGCATGGGTGGAGGTTGGTGCTAAGACATATACCCTGGCATAGATAGGTAGGTAGTGGAGAGGTAGGGGGGGCGGAGAAGATTCGGCTGCAATTCTGGCCAGCTAAATTCCACAGAGTCCTGGTGAGATTTTGCAGTGAAAACAACAGCACATCAAAACTTGCAAAACTGGTAAACCTCTTCGGAAACATGTGAAGCGGGGAGGGGATGTGGGGAGAGGGCAGGGGGAAGAGAGTGGGCCACAGAGTACTCATGTCTTGATTAGCACGTGCTGCCACTGCTAGAGTTAATAACCCTCCAGCATCTCTCAGTCTTAAACCTCAGTCCCGTTCACACTCATGGATTTCCACTCTTCCACAGATATGCTTCAGGGTCAACATTAAGCAACATGGAAACATGTGTGCGAAACATATCCAGCAAAACACTGGGAGATTATTACTCTCAGACAGCAGCAAGAGAGAGCAGCACTAAAATCCAACCACAGGTACAGGCAACGCAGTAGCCATCACTAGACATCCCGGTTTTGCATTTGAGAAACAGGTTAGCCATGGAGGGCATCTATACAGCGAGGGGTGACCAACGCTAGATGAAGCAGGTATCCGAGATCATTGACATCCGCCACTGAGCCGTGCTTTCTATCTATCAATATCTATCTATATCTATATAACTATTAAAGGAAGGATAGGACCCCGAAAGACGCTTCCCCTGGCCCCAGGGAAAATGAGGCCTGCACACCGGTTGGATGGGACAGACGTAGTGCCCCGTTTCGTACGTTTTTCTTTTTTTGGGGCGGGCAGGCCCGCACATTTGTATGTACTTTTTGGGGGCGCTTGGTACAGTTGGTGTTGGTGCGGCTTTATGAACGGGTTCCCTTTTCGCTGCGGGTTTGTTTCGCGCCGCGCTGTCGATTGCAGAAAGCGTTGTCCGTCAGGTGTCGGGCAGATTCAACCAGGCAGTGTATGTTTCCATGTTCTAGCGGAAGTTTCATCCCATTTGCTCATCCTATCGATGCAAGTAGCGTGAGGCCAGCCGCAAGGTTGCAGACTTACCTGTTCTTTCTCTCTCTCTCTCTCTCTCTCTCTCTCTCTCTCTCTCTCTCTCTCTCTCTCTCTCTCTCTCTCTCT